CCCCCAGGCAATGACAGGCTCTATAACTGAACCGGGGCAGGAAAAGGTATTAATATCTTGTTTTGCTGGTGAGAAAATTCAAGCTGCAAAGGCCAGTAACTCTGGAGAGACCAAATAAGGAACAGTGCGGGGAATAAAATAAAAGAACTTATATCCTGAACACCAGCTTCCTGTGATGGGCTGCCAGCTTCCAAACTCTGCTTCTCAAGCAGCAACAGGCAAGCACGCGGGCGAGTTTTGAGACATGCCTGAAAACTGGATCTTCTCCTCCAAGAGATCAAAACAGCACATGTCTCGCTGTCAAAACTATCACAAGCTGCCACTTTTCACTAAAATAAACAATGAGCTGCATTCTTTAACTCCCTCCAGACTCCCAGTGACAGGACTGGCCAGGGTGCAGATAGGCCATGGGGTCAGTGCCAGGGAATGACCCGCCCCCAAACTGTTCCAACCTGGGAAGGAATTACTTATTGTTTATGAAATTGTTTGGCTATGAGTTAAAAGCGACACAGGAACTATAGAGAACTAATCCCACCCTGGACATCAAAACCAGCATGGTGGTTAGAAGTAGTTTCTAACACAAAGTATAATACAATGAGTGTAGGTATGTGAGGTGGGGGGAGGGAGCCTAGCTCCAAACCACAGCCCCACCTTCTATTACCTATAAAGGAGCAGACCATTCTCCCCCAAATCTATTCTTCCCTTCTGCCACAGAAGAGGGCAGCTGGATACAGGCCACATAGCTGGGGCATCAGACATACAGCCCCAAGGCTGTCAACAAGTTATGACATACCCACTTCCCACATCCTTCTCCACAGAGAGCTTGCCTGCTCTGTATCACTGCTCTCTTCTCCTGCCAGTCCGGCGAACACAGCCAGGAAACAACACAACTTCAAGCATGTCAAACAGGGCAGCATACTAAGGGGTGGGGGGCCCACAAGATGGAAGGAACCTGGGCCCCTGAATCCTATGTGGCAAAGCTGCTCCACCAACTTGTACTTTACTGGGGGTCTTTCTGTTACAGTAGCTTAGTCTATACCTTAACCAATACACCCTTATGTGCAACCGGGGGGGGGGTGGGGAAGGAGACTACGGAATGATCAGTGGGAAGCTGATCTAAGAAGCTCACAAAGAATTTAGATACAGCAAGACAAGTGATGTGATGTAGAACACTATTTTCTTGGTAAAGCACAATTTCTCCAGGGAAGGACATGAGTGAAGATATGTGTTCTACAGAACTGAGCAAATTTCATGAACCAGAGTGACAAAGCAGTTGCCACAGGCTGCCTGCCATAATACAGACTAGCCCTATTATATGGAAGCAGATGTGAAAATGGGCCTTGCTAGAATTTTCTATATGCTGGAAAATGGTAAACCATACCCACTGGTATGTATCTAAAAATGGGAAATTTTTAACTATCAAAATTCAAAAGCACCCAAGTTCAAGTTCCTTGTGCTATATTTTTCATATTTTGAAAATCATGCTGGGTCCATTTTGAATTAGGCACTCTAGAGAGAAAAACTTGCATACTTAACATGATTTCTGTAACATAGGTAAATATGCATGTAAATCAAATTTCTATAAGTTAATCATGCATTCATCCAAAAGTATTTCTTAAGCGTTTACTTGGGGAGCTCTCCTGGAAGCAAGAGCGAGATCATCACCTCCCTGGTAGAAGCTGTAGCTTAGGAGAGGAAACCAACACCCATTCGCGAAGAAGAAGGACAGGGCACTGTGCGCGCACGGCAGAAGGACATCTCTTCCAGAAGCAGAGACTAGGGAGGGTTTCTGGAAGTGACATCTGGTGCATGCCCAGAAGGAGTCAGCCAAGTGCAGAGGAAAAGAGTGAACAGAGGCAAGTCAGAGGCAAGTTCAAAGAACCCAAGAAAGCTCAAGATGTGTGTAAAGTGAAAGGAGACACAGGACAAGCGCCGAGGCTGAAGGTGGAGGAGAAAAGGCCTGTAAGCCACGTGGCAGTCTGGCCTTCATCCAGACGGCTGCAGGGAGTGTTGAAGGGTTTTAACAGCAGGATGAGTTGGCTGCAGAAGCGCTGGGGGAAGGGCACAGCAGATGGCAGAGAGAACACCTCGGAGGTTATTGCCATAATGCAGGGGGAAGAGGTGGCAGCCTCCACTCTCAGAGTACACACAGGACTGCGTGCAGGGGCAGCTGTGAGGAATAGATCGGAGGTAGAATGCTAATTCTTTTCATTGATTTCAAATGTATCTTCAATTAAATTGCATTTGTATTACAAATTCGTACCTAGCTGCCAGGGGACACTTTGTTTCCCCAAATTTCAAGGCGTTATGGAAATAGTCAGCAGACACAGTGCAATTTCAGTACCTTGCGATGCCAACACAGATTCCGCAGTCCCCTTGTCTTGTGACAGATGTGTTTCCCCGATTCAGAAATGTTCAGTATTTTAAAAGGTGAGATGGTGACTAGCCTTGATAACATGTAACGCCCTCAGGTAGTACCTGGGATCTCAAACGCATTCACATTTTGCAGTAAAATGTATGAATAGTCACAGTGAAGGGAAATGAATAAGAGAGTTCAGGTCAAGTTTTGCTGCCAAATAAGTAACAAAAGAACTGGAGGTTATTCTGAGCGCTGGGTCTCTCAGAATTGCAGATAAGGGATGGTAGGTCTATAATCATATCTTAATTCCTGTGCTAAGTTTGCAATTTTATATGAGAACTTGTATCCTTAGCAAGCCTTTTACTCCAAAGTACCAAAGCACTTGAGAAAGCAGACAAGAAAATAATTACAAGATCCCAGTAATAACTAGTTGAGCTACTAAAGAAGGGTGTAAAATGTCACTGCACCCAGGTACCAATGTGCTAAGGCAACCAGAACGCCAGCAAACAGCTGTTTCAAGATCATTCCCATCTTGCAAGATGCTGGCTAGAAAACCCAGGATGATGCTCATTAAACTAAGGAGGCCAACGCCAGTGGCAAAACCCACAGGGAAGCCCTAGAGCCAAAAGGCCCAAAAAAGGAAGCCTGCAGTAGGGAGCCTGTCCTGGCAGAGCAACAGCACATGTGCCAATCCACGAGGAATTCCAGGAAGGCTGTGTCCAGGGGTCCCCAGCTGTGAAATCTCTGACTGTGACGAGGCCAACTGGTAGGGTCAAGAATGAAGACACTAAAGAGTTTACGGTTCTCAGAATGCCCAGATGTTACCCTCTTCGACACGTGCTTTAAAAGACACCATAAGGAAAACAAAACACCACGCTCAACACGACGAAAACTAAGTGAGTTTTCACTCCAGGGCCCCGGTGATCTCCGTCGCTGGCCACCAAGGAGCAAGCAGTGGTTTCCCTGAACCACTCATGACCGGACCGCCAGTCCTCATCTGTGTCCCTTTATATGGAACACTCAGCACCTGGCATCCTCGATGCCAAAACTGATGGTGTTGGAGTCCAAAAGCACCTCGACAATCCTTGCCTGAGACAGGAGAGCAAGGCGAGCTCTTTGACCAAGGAAATAGAGAGATGAGCTAATTTATGCAGTAGCGCCAGCAAATTTTTGCCAAAAATCAAGCCCTTTGTAGCTCCAGGATGGCTGCTGTTATGTCTCGCCACAAAAACGAACCTTAGGCTCACAAGCTGGAGTTCTGAGTCGCTTGGCAGGATGCCCATTAAAATTCTGCAAGTAACAATAACGAACAAAACTCCTGTTTTTTCAAGACCACATGTTTTCTGGGGGTTAATGGAGAGCTATGTTAACACAGCCACATCTGAGAGCGCCCCACGACACAGGGAACACAAGGTAAATGCTGCACCTGCAACCCATGTTCAGGAATACTGGTGAGACCAGAAACACACCAAGGTCACCTGAGAAGACCAGGGCTCCACACCCCAGCTCTCAGGGAAGGAAAGCTTCCAAGCCCATATTCGAGGAAAGGCACACCTTGTAGGCCAGTGTACAGGTTCTGAAGGGAGAGGGGCCACGCTAGCCCACTTTCTGGGGTGCTTGTATGCAAACATGCTAGCTCAGAGTGGGGCCCCCGAGAAACTCTCTATCAGCACTGGGTTCCCAACTAAGGTGAAACCAAGGCCAAACAACTGCTTATTTCAGGTCAGAAATAAAGGCAGTGAAGCCCCCAAATATTGACCACAGAAGTTCTAGATAAATAGGAGTCCACCTCTCCCTTACCCTAGTTGCCTACCTGAACCTCTTATAAAAGCTAATCTCCATTCACGGTAACAGGATAGACTTGTTTTAAGGGGTGGCTTAGGAGTAAAACTTGTTTTCAAGATACCTTTCTTTACTTTGGGAAGATAAACCCCTAAAAACCTAAACAAGGCCCCAAAATGAATGTTAGCATCCTATAACTCATCCCACATTTACATTAGGGAGTTTTCCGGCCGGATTCAAAAGAATGAGGCAGATCTGCATGTACTGACAAGGAAGGATGTCTGGGAACAACTGCTGAAAGGAAAAACAGCAAGCTGAGAGGCAGAGCAGAGAGCAATATGCTATTTTTGTAAAATGAACTATTTACATGTATTATACACACAGACACAGTAGCATTTTTCCCATGAGGCACAGTTAAGGGCCAGAAGAACCATTAACCATCAACATTTGTTTCCCTTGGGAATGGGATTTGCATAAAGGTCGAGAACTTCCCCATCTATTTTACACATTCCTGCAATGTTTTCATTCTCTTACAATAACCATGCATTACGATCTCAACTTTTAAAAATTAAATTACGAGTCTACTAAAGGTAAAAATGGACCATTCCCCAATAAATGACTTCTTAGTATTGTCCTTTAAGCTGTAGCTACAATCCCAACACCAAATGGGGCTGTCTGTAAGTGCCTGGCCTCAACCTGCGGGACAAGGAGAACAGGAAGACACCTGTGCATCAGGAAAACAGAACAAAGGAGCAGTGACACAGACCACACTGGCAAGAACCTTCTTGGATTCTACAGTGGAGACACCGGGTATCGCAACGCAGACTAACTCTAGAGAGATGGACACACAACGACTTACCAGATAAAGGTTTATTTTGTCCTGAAAAGCATACTGTAACTGGGGGAGCCAAGGGCTCGTGCTCCAACATAAAATGTTCCGTTCTTCCTCAAAAAATGAGACCTAGGAGATAAAGAATCGCTTTAGACAATTAAAGAACAAGGTGAGCATGGGACAGAATGGGGGTGTTCTGTCCTCTCACTTAGGCCTAAACTTATGTCGCTAAGGTCATCAATTAAAAAAAAGAAAGGCCTCACTTAGCCCAGCGTCCACAAACCTCATTCACCGAGTTCACTCACGATGTCTGCCAGTTCTGATTATTTATTTAAAGCCTATCTTTAAAACCTAATCACACATAAATATAAATCTTTGTCTTCCTCTTCCCCTCTCCATCCTAAACAAAGTTATCAAGTGGGTTAAAACCAGGTAAAGGCCCTCTCTGGTGGTGCAGCAGGTTAAAGCACAGCACTGAGAAGCTAAAGCCACTTCCGCATGAGTTCGATTCCCGCCTGCCCCGGAGGTGACCACATGGTGTGGTAGACCTCTCCTGACCCGCCGCTGCTCCCCTCAGCAGTGTACTTCGTCAGTCAGCCTGTTCTGCTCCCCACTCTGTCTCTGGTGAAGCCAGGTAGTAGGCAGAGAACCTCCCAGTCCAGACAGGGTGCCAAGTCCAAGCAAGGGGAGGGGCAGCCTGCTGCAGGGTCACAAGGGCCCTAAGATGAGGAATAACCACGAACAGGGGTGGCCAGGAGCCAGGCGGGGGCAGCAGCAAAGACAGTACCGGATACACATCGGAGCACGAAATTAGTAAATACAGTAAGACAGTGTCAGATAAGAGAGTCACAAACACGGAAAGGGCGAAAACCAGAATGAACCTAGGTATTGGTATGAAGTCATGGTTCCAACACATATAGACACAGAAATGCAAGTATGGACATGTGTATGCATGCATGGGAGGTGCATCGCGGATACACAGAGCCCTCAGCTGTGTCTACCAAGGAGTTCTGGGAACAGTGGCATCCCAATCTTGACCTCTCATTCCCACTTCTGAAAGGAACAGGCTCCATGGGAAAATGATGACTGCAGGGCTGGAGCAGGTAAACAAAAGTACAAAAACCTCAGCATTCTCTGTCAGGAAGAACGATCCTGAAAAAGACAGGGGTACATCAAAAGAACACAAAAGCTACCCTGAAGAGCTTCTCATTGGCCAACGTGAGTTAAAAATATGTAACGATAGTAACGGGTAGTAACTACAATAGGAAAATGCGAGGAAAAGGCAAGTCTTAGGAAGAATGGGGATTTCCAGTTTGAAAACACCTCCCTGCTACACACTTTTGTAATTACTGAGGAGAAAGGACTAACTCCACAGTGGAGAAGCAGGACAGTCACCCTCTTCACCGAGCCGTCAATGTGAGCATCACGTGAATGCGACAACCTGAAACAGTGTCATCACTGTTTCACTGGAATGCAACAAGACCGAGCCTCTCGCCAGAGACATTCCTGCCGAGGACTATGACCTGAACAGAAATGCAACCACCACCAAATAACCTAGCCTAAAAAATGACAGGCCTCTCCTGCTCAGAATCTCCAAGGTCACGAGAGTCCTGGGGGATGAAGGGGCCATTCCAGATAGGATGAGACTAAAGAGACAGAACAACAAAATGCCATGTGCGATTCTGGCCTGGATCCTTTTGTTCTAAAGTGAGTGGGACAACCGGATTGTGATGGCTGCTTTGGGGTTCAAGGGAGAACACCTTTGTGGTAGGAAAGGCTCCCTAAAGTAGCTGCAAGGGGAAAGGGGGCATCAGGTTGGTAATTTCTTTGCAAATGGCTGAGGCAGAAATGGCAATGCTGTATGTGACAGCTTTACGTGTTCACTTGGTTAGGCCATAGAACCCAATCACTGAGTTACATGAGGGGGTTTCACAGAAGCAGCTAACATCTATCACCAGCTGACTTTTGTGGGGGGGTGGGGGGGCTTCATCCAACCAGTGGGATGATCTTAAGAACAAAACTGAGGTTTCCCTGAGAAAGAAGAAATTCGGCCTCAAGATCATAGGACGTCTTCCTCACCTTCCTCAGCTCCTGCCTAGAAGTTTCCCGCCTGCTGGCCTGCCCCATAGACTCTGGCCCTTCTAGCCCCCACAATCACAGGCGTAAACTGCTTGCAGTAAATTTTCGTACATAATGCCTATGTATATTATTTATTTACATAACATTTATGTCAATATTTACATAACTATACATATGCATCTACAATATATGCATATATTTTTATGCTTTTTATATATTATGTATCCCATATATGTTATATGCTACAAATAGTGTAGATAACCTTAAGTAACACTGTATTTGAAAGTTTTCTATAATTTCATTGTTTCAGTTTTTTATTTTATTTATGCATAAAGAACTGGGGTACAGGTCAGAGGTGTGGGGGATGAGAGGATTCACCAGAGACAGAGTGGGGAGGGCAGGTGGACCTACTGAAACACACTGCTGAGGGGAGCAGCGGGAGAGACCAGGGAGGTCTTCAGAGCCGAGAGGATTAGCTCCCTGGCTAGGATTGAACTGGTGGCGCAATGGCTGGTGGTAGCACTGAGGTTTTAACCCCTGCGCCACTGGGGAGGCCCTTACCGTTTCATTTTTTTTTAAATATATCCACTCCCCGTAGTTTCAACAACTCCTGCCAAAGCCCCGGGCTTTGATGTGACTGTTCAGTGTTTAAACTACTCTGTCTACATACAGTCCCAAGTCATTAGTCCAGAAGAGTCACCAACATGCCTCCCCTACACCCCCGCCCCTGCCCCATCATCTATCACACCGATCTGCTGATGCATCTTTCTTTCCTGGCTCATAAAAGCTGTTCAGTGAAGACTGGTTGAACTGAAATGTCTACATCTTCCTCCGCGCTCACTCCTTGCCTGACCCCTGAAGCTCCCATTAAAATAAACAGTCTCTGAGGAGCGCTGAGATTCTCAGAGCTGTGGCGGACGTGCTGGCCTCTCCTAGGTGACAGGTCTCACTGGCCAGACACTGCCACCTCTCCCCTCCTCCTCTCTGGCAGCTTCTTTCACTCGCTTCAGTGCTGACTTCTCCTCTCAATCCCTTAAATTTTGAAGCCTCACGCGGCTCAGTTAAGCATCCTCTGTCTCTTTATATTCATAGTCAGGAATGGATGAGAGAGCGGCTTTAGTGACCGCAGGATGTCTGTGATTAAAAGAAAAAGGGGGAGGAGACCTGAGGGAACCTTTAGGGTATTTTTTGTTTTAAATCACACACATACAGGTGTTAATTACAGTCACCATCCATTCCCTGAAACAGTGGTTTCACTTACCTGTGGAATATAAATAACCAAAAAACATACGCTGGCAGAGCACAGCTAATTTACCAATCTGGGTGGGCCCCAAAGCGTATTTTAGACCTAAAATTAAACCTTAGACCTAAGTGAAAACATACTGATTAGGCGGGAGCATGGGGAGTGGAAGGGGCAGCGGAAGCTGAGGGGCAGGGCACTGGCAGGGGTGATTAGGTGGAGGGCGCATAAAATGTGTGCCCAGATGGAGGAGTAAAATGTAACCCCAGAGTTATGCAGACACATAAACAATTGCCAAGTTAATAAGTGCATCAATTAAGCTAATAAACCAATCAAACAACCCAGCCCACACTCATACCTGGCTGTGTCCAGTCACTAGCCCAGGGGAAGGAACCCCTATTGGGTGTCTCTGTTGCCTGCCTACACCAAGGTGCGCTGGATTACTTTCTCTGCACACGCAGTATTTCCCATTTAAAATATAATGGGGTGACATCTTATGGCTCTTCCCAAGGACATAGGAACCCACCAAATTCAACAGGTGCTCAGGCAGTGGGTACTGATCCTGGTCCTGCAGCTGGGCGGCAAGTTAGCACCCTCAGCTCCTCTCTTCCCTGATCTGCAGCACCCTGCCACAATTCCTCTCTGAAGCTGCTCGCAGTACATCCCTACGCCTGGGCTACATCACTCCTGGACTCTGACAAGCAGCTTCCTCAGGCTCTGATCCCAGCCTCCATCAAAAACCTGGACGGCCCCCAACCGTCCCTCCAGTGAGACTGCAGTTCCAAAATCCTGTCCTTGAGGGAAGGGTGAGCTCCTGCTTATGGGCACAGATCTACTTAGGATAGGGATTAAGTTGTTGATGTAAAGTGAGTGTACTTAATATCACTGAACTTAGAACCAACACTGGCTAAAAGCGATCTTATATGACATATATATATATATATAAAGGATTTTATATGACATATATATATAAAGGTTTTTATATTACATACATATACAAAGGATTTTTGAGATTTCCTACAAGTCATCCCTTCCTGCCTGAATGTCCTTATTTCTCCCCATTTCTAAATCTCTCTCTCGCTCACATCTGCATGTGTTCTAATTAAACTCCAGATGGCCACCAGGCCCCTCGTCCACCTGACATGTCCTGTTACTTCTCTCTGCCCAGAGATGACATGCCTTATCTGCACGTGAACTTTCTCTAAGTGTCCCTGGCTCACCCACCTCCACCCTCGCCGTCATTCATGAGTTTGCGAACTGCCCTTCCCCTCTGCGACACTTTAACCGGTAGGTGCCTGCTTTAAATCCACATCAGCATCCTTCTTCCCTTTCCAAGGTTGTTTTTAAACCCTGAAGCTAACAGCCATGGAGCTCAATTCCTTTTGCAGGCTTCCCACGGAGCCCGGTACATTATCAGACACACGATGTGCACTTGAACGTCTGTAACTAATAAATTACTCTCTGAACTGCAAGGTTGATGGCCGCCTCTCTAGCAACACAGCAAATGAATCAATATGTCTGGAGCAGCTGCCTTGTTTAAAAAGGAGCAAATTACCACCACCAAAGAGATAACTTCTTCCCTGCTCTCAAACGAGCAACTCCCTAGTCACGTAACAATTTAATTTCATCAATGATCTGTTCTAAAATCAAATACACGTCCACAACACAGAGCTGTAAGTAAGTGTGCAGAAGCAAGCGCTCTCACTCGCCCCATAATACGGGTGTCCCTGGGACCCCAGCTGACAGTCATGACAGATCATCTCAAATTCAGCTGAAAGGCCAAGTTGGTTCTGAATAAAATGCCGCTACAGAACCGTGATCAGGGACCCCCGGGAGTCTGTGTGAGCCTTCAAAAATAGTCCACATCAGTTCAAGAAGAGCTGAGATTGCCAGAGCCCTTTCTGCCCATGCAGCCGTAATTAATAATCAAGTCACCAGGAAAGCTTGCTCCATCAGAGAAGCCAGTTCAGCAGGTTATCATCTCCGCAAGGAACATTCTGGAACAGAAAGGGGAAAGGCTGTGACGGCAGGAGGCGCCTACCTGCTCCTGGGCCAACAGGGCCTTCTTCTTCATGACTTTCATGGCATAGACGTGTCCAGTCGCTCTCTCCCTCACCACCTGCACTTCAGCAAAGTGGCCACAGCCTACAAGACTTCGGACTTCAAAGTCCTTGGCTGAAGGCTGAAGTTCCCGTAGATCAGCTATGGTGTCAGAATCTGCCAAAGATGGAAGAGTTACTCTCAGGTAAATAAAGCGTTTCAAAAATGCACCTTTAGGAAAGCCATAAAGAAGAAAGAGAGAAAGAAGAAAGAAAGAAAAAGTGTTCTTATGTCTTCCCTCACTGTCAAAAGACATTTAGTCACTTTCTCATCTGTCATGAATAATTATAAAATCAGCACAAAAATGTTTTTATATGTTAAGTTAAAATTAAGGGCTCCAGAAATTCCAGAGCACAGTTTCCATGGTAGCTATAATTTGAATTCCGTAGACTTAGAAAATAGGGGAGGGAGAGGCGTGCGTTTCTTCCTCCTCACTAAAGGCTGCAGGGAGGTGTGTAGTCAAACGTTCTTATCAGCATTTGGACCAATTTATAAATGATGTAAGCAACATGCTTCCCATCCACAATCAACTGTGGAGTCGTCTTCCAGATCATTCCTTCCTGTCAACTGTGGTCTGCTCAGTTTTCTCCCACTAGCCCATTCTCTCTTCCTTGCAGTGTGCAGCAGGGATGCCTTCTGCCTTCCTGTGTGGGAAGGCTACCCCCAGAAAGCATTAGTCCAAAGAACCAGGGACCTGCCGTGTCACACATCTGGAATGGTTTGCAACTACCTTTATCTTAACACAAAGTGTTATTCCTTTTCCAAGTACAATCTCTGGGCCATGTCTTAGTCTGCTCAGGCTGCTCTAACAAAACACCACAAATGAAGTGGCTTACACATTTATTCCTCATAATTCTTGAGACTGGGAGGTCCAAGATCAATGTGCCAACAGACTGGCTCCTGATAAGGGCCTGTATCTCAGTGTCCTCACAAGGCAGGAAGGAGAGCTCTGGTCTCTCTTCCTCTTCCCATAATGAAGCTAATCTTGTAATAGGGGCCCTACCCTCACCATGTTATCTAAATCTAATTACCAAAGGCTCCTCCTCCAAATACCATGACACTGGGGGCTGGAGTCTCAACTCAGGAATTCATGGGGGACATAAACATTGAGTCCATAATAACTGGAGATCCTCAGCAGGTGAAGTATGGGCTACATGGATGACAGACTTAGAATTTAACACAGTTTTTTAACACCCTAAGGACACAACATAGCCTGGGCATCACTGGCTAGGCAGTGACATTGATATGCTGCAGAGAAGGAGGAGTGAGCTGTGACTCCAGAAAATTCAAATCCTGCACGTTACCGGGAACTGGGCCACATTCCAAAGGAAGGCAAGAGCGACATGTAATCAAAATTATCCAGGAGAACGCCTCAGAAGGGTGCCACACTAAAAAACATGAGGCTATCTTGAAACCCCACATGGGCGCTGGAGTCCTCGAGGCATGGAATAGAGCAATGTCTGTGACTGGCACCAGAGAGCTTAGAGATACACTCAACTCGGCAGGCTGTTCACACAACCAGTGTGACAGGGTTCAACAGAGGGAAAAGCCATTTTGTATCCACCGTCACTGGGTGGCACAACGATAAATTAATCAATGCAATTTTAATTGGTATTACCCATCCCCTTGCTTTGCTGCATGGGGGGAGCTAAAATCACTTCTTTCAAAGGCACATATGATGAATTCCACTACCTTGAGCGTCACCCACAAACCACACCACTCATTTCAGCAAGTCATCCTGAAAAAAACATCTTCAGTCCCTCGGGAATCAGGCAAGAACGGCAGGCAGATTGGCGTGAATTTACCCTGACCACAGCAACAAAGAAATTGAGAGCCCTTCAGGAAGAATTCCATGCAAGATTGAAAACTAGGCCATATTCTCCTTTCACCCTTACATCACTGCCAGGCCCCATATTTCTTCCCTGTCCTTCTCCAAGTTTCTTTCAGTCAAGTATTTGAGTTTTGAATTATAATTCCCCAAATACACTGGTGTGCAACTTCTTGGTTGAACCCTGTTTCATCACTGCTCACACACAAGGCCAGTCTCTCCTCTCTGTTAGGCCTTGCACCCCCAAGCTGCTGTCAGTATTGTGCAACTTCATAACTCAGCTTCTGTCACAAGCAACCACCAGGTACCTCAATCGCATAAGCCGACAAAACTACCACAATATGCTTAGAATTCTAAGAAACCAGTCCAAATCTCACTGGCTTTATTCCTAGGCTTTGGGTTATCAAGGTAAACAGGCAACACTATACTCCACATCTATGACTATTAAAACAGTCCACCTTCATGACTTCTGTACAGGACTCTGACTTCAAACCCCGTCACCCTTCACTCCTGGCCTTGCAGTTAGAGTCCAGTGGGTGCTGAATATTGAGGTGAAGGGGAAGCCCCAGAGCACCTCAGTGAGAATGCCAAGAAGGACCTTGTAAGATCAACCAGGATTAACCTGATAGTCGAGGTAAAAGAGCTAGACTTTGCTGAGCACTGTCTCTGTATCAGGCTTTCCTATACATTCCCATTTAATCCCAGAACAACCCACTGTTGGGCCTCCCTGGTGACCTAGGGGTTAAGTCTCATAGCTATCACCACTGCAGCCTGACCTCCATCCCCAGCCAGGGAGATGATCCACATAATGCAGCAGACCTCCCCTGTCTCGCCCGCTGCTCCCCTCAGCAGTGGATTTTAGTAGACCTGACTTTTCTGCTCCCCACTCTGACTCTGGTGAATCCTTTCACTCCCTGCACCTCTGGCCTATACCCCAGTTCTTCTACCTGCCTACAAACACACACACACACACACACACACACACACACAAATAAATCTTTGGACCCAGAGAGCAAAAACCAATTGCTTCCATTTTTGAAACCAGATAATCTAATTCCTAGGAATTCAACCTGCATGGGAACACCCGCACAAGTGCACGGGAAAGACACAAAGAACTATGCTCGTGCTGAGTGCTGCTGTCACAGGAAGAGTCAAACTCAACACTCATCCACCAAAAGTGGAAGCAGACTAAAAGTCTGCCAATGTAAAAGAACATTCAGCACATGTTTAAAAAAATGAGGTAGCTCCTTTGCCACTTAATATATATTTTTTAAGATTTATTTATGCTTACAGAACTGGGATACAGACAACAGTTGTAGTGGGTGAGAGGCAGAACAGGCAGACTGACAAAGTACACTGCTGAGGGGAGCAGCAGGTGGATAAGAAGAGGTCTGCTACACCATGTGGGTCAGCTCCATTGCCAGGGATGGAACTCATGCTGCAGAGACTTCAGAGAGCTTCATAATGTGGTACTTTAACCAGTTGCACCACCAGGGAGAGCCCTCAATAAGAATTCTTAAAGGGAAGGCTTTGATCACTACTATAAACCCAGAAGCCAAAACGGAACCTGGCACAGAGTAAGTTCTCCATAGATATTTGTCAAGTAAATATAATGTTAAGTGAGCAAAGCTACACATATGATCCATCTGTGTGAAATTAAACCAGAATAATGTTAGAACAAGCATGATTACTAGAGCTGGCTGACTTTACATAAGGGTTCATTAGGCTCATCTCTTTACCTTTAGATCTGTTTGAAATTTTCCATAATAAATATTTTATGGGCAAAAAAAAAAAATGTTATATACCAAAGTGTTAACAGTAGTTCTCTCAAACACGTAAAATGTGGAGAAATTTTCTTTCTCTTTGACCTTTTATGTCTAACTTTGTGTTATATTTGAATTTAGGGAGAAAAAAAAACTTCTTAAAGTTGTAATAATTTACCTGTATGTATTACAGCTGGGAACATACATACAGGATCTTTTGCTTCAGTCAAAGTAGCAGAAAGAGGGGAGAATTTCAGCCACTGTAATCACCGAGAACTCTCCAATTTTGACAATTATCGACACTTTTCTATGTACCTTTTGATATCACACTTGCTATTTTTTACATAAACTATATGCCTACTTTAAGTTTCCACCACTTACTTGGTTCATTTAGGAATATAATCATTCAGTCAATACTTATTGAGCAGCTACCTTGTGCCAGACCCTGTTTTAGATACACAGGATATAAAAGAATAAAGAAGCAAAACCCTTCCCCTGGTTCACAGATGCTAGTTCCCTGCCCTCCCAGGCCTAAACAAGAAGTCCTGCTTCGTGGTGACATTCAGTCTCTTTTCCTTCACAGTCCCCAAAGAAAATCTCCATCTTGTGACAAGACTCAAGAAACTTTGGAAGTAGCAGCTGTTGGACCCTCTTCCCACAGAAAAGCAAGCCTTACATTCAAAACAGAAACTCAAAAGCAAAAACAAAAATCAATAATACAATTACCCTTTTTCAAACATAGCCTCCCAACTGTCCTCTCCAGGAAGCCTCTTCAGAAATAAGGAATAACTCCCTGGAAGAGGATTCTATAAGAAAAATCTACATTTCATCAAGCTGAACCTCCTAATTGCGGACTAAGGAAGGCGAGAAGCCATCTGAACTGAGGGCTGTCTCCAGGTGAATGAAGGTGCCAGTAAACTGGCTGGTTAGCCTGTCACTTCCTGTCCCCGCTCACTCCTGTGGTATACAAGGCTCCTTTCAAGTTAGACAAAAGCAGGACACTTGATCGCCCTGGGGCAATCGAGATACATCATGAGGTATGGCAGGGAAAGCTGGGTGGTGGGGTGGATGTACACTGATGTGCTTTGCATCCCAGGGACTGATCAGTGGAACGCCTTGTTAATAAGAGAGGAGCCATGGGTGGGGAGCCAGGAGTATATCAGCAGACTCCGCCGCGCTCCCTAAAGCCCTGGACCCAGTGTTGAGTCTGACCTACCCTTTTCTTTTCTCTGTCAGTAAAAAGGCCAGGATGTTGCTCCTGAGCAGCATCCTGCAGCCTCCAGCCTGCTCCCATTCTTCCATTTCTTTCTCTTATCACTGCGGTGTTACGCTATGACACAGAGAGCTATGCTGCTGCAACACACTCCTTATTTGGGAATTTAAATTTCCAAGAAAATAAAGTGAGAGTGTGTTCGAACAATAATGAACGCAGGAATACCCCAAGTACATTTCAAAGTGAAAGATGAACAATGTATTAAACTATGTTGAGGTCCGTGGCTGCCATTATGGGGTAATATTTATTGAGTGACTCTGTATAGTCTCCAATTTTTCCCAATTTGCAGAGAAGAAAACTCAGATGAGGCAAGAAACATACATACCAAAGGTCACTATCATGGACATACACTGGTTTTACCTACTCAGACCCCCAGTTCCGTTGGGTACTTGCATAACCCCCACCCCCATAAGGTCCTGATAATCACAGTTTCAGACCTCCAGGCACCCATACAAAGTCAATCACAACACTACTTCACAACCTCACCCAGTTGTGAGGGGTCAAGGGATAGACAAATGGCCCAAAGCAGAGTCAGTTAAAAACCTTCTCTGATTGATATTAATAAAGAAGGTGAGAGGTTGGGCAGGGTCAGTCCTCAACGAGCCTGTTCTTAAAGGGCCAGGCAGTTAGTATCTTGGGCTTTGGAGGCCATGTGGTCACGACTCACACGTCTTGCCTTATGTAAGCCGTCAAGAGCGATGCATGCACAAATGGGCGTGGCTGAGTTTCAGTAACACTGCTTTACAAAACAGGCATCCACCCCAGGCTGTGGTTGGCAGACCCCAGAAGGAGACACTGCACTGAAGTACCATGTGGAGGGCAAGAGGCCCCTGAAACACTACAGAAAGGCCAGAGTCCCAGCTGAGTCCAGTCTTCCAGCCAACAGCGCCAGACATTGAACCAGCCATGAGAACACTCCAGCCAGGAGGGTCCCCGGTGCCTAAAATCCAGGCCAGCATCATGCGGAGCAAAGGAATCCTCACCGGAGCCCAGTCAACCCTTGGGCTCCTGAGAATAAAACAATTCAGTCACCTAAATTTAGGGTGGCTTAAAGTCATGGATGGCAGGATTTCTCAAAGCTGACATTACTGACATTTTGGAGGACCCCGTGCGTGGTGATGGATGTTGACTGGCATCCCTGGCCTCACTTGTTAGATGCCAATGGCACCCTCCCCCCACCTCTACCCTAGCTGTGAGAACAAAAAATGCCTCTAGACATCAGTGTCCCAAGTGACTTAGGACTTTCATAGACCCTAGGCACTTCTACCTTTGCCAGCTGCTACCTGAAGAGAAAAAAATCAAAAATTACATTTTATGATGACCATGATAAAAAGTAGAGTACGCTATACATACATGCATACATAACAATACATTGCTACTATAGGCATATTTTTCTTAGGACTTCAAATCCTGAGTGAGATGGGGTCAAGGACACCATCTAATTCCTTGGAATCAGCCTGAAGTTTGACACATCCCTGGATTTGCCATTTCATGAGCCAATCAATTCACTTTGGGGCCTAAGTTTGTTTTAGGTGAGTTTCTGTCACTTGCAACCATAAGGCCTGGCTTTTTCCAGTCTCCTGATGACAAAAGGCAGAACCTGACCTCGAAGCGGGAGTCTGGCTGGCTCCGAGCAGAGCGCTTCCGCACTCCCACCAACCACTAACTCATTCCGCCTTGGGCAACCTTCCCACTTTCTCAAGGATGACAGTTTTCAGGAAAAAGCTCTCCAAACTTACACTTCCGGACAAAGTTGCTCACGTGTTTGATCTTCATCAGAGCAGGCTGACTGCACTCTTCAAAGAGAACAAAGAGGGCATCTAATATCCCTTCTCGGGAAAGAGGAGACATCTGCTGTTGAGTCATAGAGGGTGGTTTCCCCTAAAAACAGCAAACAGCAGATGGAGACACTGTCAATAATGAAAAGCTTTGATCAATAACATCCACACAGAGTAAATTACAAACCACCAACTCGACTAACTGCTCACGACACACGTTAACAGCGCAATTCTGTGGCTTCATCCTTTAAAGCGACATCAACGGACAGTCATTAAGTTATCACCCATGCAATTCCATTACTAAGGGTTTCTTTCACCAGCACCCTGGAAGAAAAATATCACAAGCATGCCATTCATAAGAAAAGGGCCTCCTTTCTTCATGGTCTGAGGCGTGTGGAAACATTCACTCTGGACCCTGATGGTTCTGACGTTTCCCCATGTCTCTACAGCAGGAAACTATGATTGCTGCTTCTTTCATGCAGCCCCAAGCTTGCTGATAGAACCTTTCTTTAATTTACTCTGACACATTCCAGTGAATGGAATGACGCAGTGAAGCTGCGTTTCCTCCTGATCAAGAGCAACAGTTGCAAACCGGCAGACTGTATCTAGCCCACAGACATGTTTTGTTTGGCTTGTAGTATTTAATGTAATTTGAATTATCTGCCAATATTGAAAAATCAGGAGATTGGATCAAAGAGAAAGGGTGGAAGGATTTTCTGGCTTCTCTTGAGACAACGGCTGAAATTCTAGCACCGCTCCCACTCCTCCCTGGCGACTCGGGGCTGCAGCTGCGTGTGCTGCCCCTGGGGGTGGCAGATGTGTTGTGCATGTGACTGCAGAAGGACTCAGTCGCCCACCTGGCCACTTCGCTCACTTATACTCACACCTGGGCCCTGAAGAAATGGGACTGCACCCCTTGCCTACAGCAGTGATCCCCACATACCAGGCTGTGGACCATGCAGCCATCTCTCTGCAAAGATGGCCACAAACAGTTGTCACTCTTACGCACTTGTCATTGCTCCCATCAAAAGCTCCTCTTGAATGTGTGACACAGGCAGCCCTCTGCCAGCTCAGGGCAATCCTTAAGCAGCTTCTTTTGTTGCTCTTTTGGGAAACCAGCTGCCATTTAAAGATGCCAGGCCCGCTACCTGCTTTATATTTTTTAAGATTTATTTATTTGTACACACAAGAACTGGGGTACAGGCCAGGGGTTGTTGGGGGGGGCAAGAGTATTCACCAGAGACAGAGTGGGGAGCAGAACAGGAAGATCTACTGAAATACACTGATGAGGGGAGCAGCTGGCCAGTCAGGAAAGGTCTGCTGCACGATGGGAATCACAACCCTAGCTACGGATAGAACTGGAGCTGCCGTGACTGCAGACACATCATAATGCTGCGCTTTAACCTGCTGCACCACCAGAGAGGGCCTCCAATCACTACCTGCTTTATAAATAAAGTTTTATTGAAACACAGCCACACCCATCGTTTGTATATTGTCTGAGGTGACTTTGAAGGCTACAATGACAGTTGCAGTGGAGACCATATGACCCACAAATCCTAATAATAAAATTACTTGCAGAAAAAAATTATCAGCCCCAAGCTAGACTACTGAATAGCAAAGGTATTCATGGAGGAGAGAGGCTATGTAGAAGACAATATTGTTCATGTTGGCAGGTAGCATCCAGATGTTCCAGTCCCAGTCAACTTCCAAATGAATAAGCTCTGACAGTGACCCCAGCTGAAGTCACAGAGTAGAAAACCTGAGCCATCTAACTGAATCCAGCCAGCCCACAGGGGCCTAAGAAAAAATAATCACCATGGCTTTAAACTTTGAGTGCTTACACTAGAATCACCAGAACTCAAGGACTTTAAAAAAAAAAAGACACTCTGGTCCTTGTTCCAAGCTACTGAATTAGAATTTTCCAGTTTTTAGCTTACAATCTGTTTTATTCACCAATCCCTCCTGCCCCCAAATTCAAACCTTAGTCAGGTTTGGGAAGCACTGGGTCACCATACTTGTCTAGTGGGTATTTTGTGAATTTTTTCAGATTCACATTGAAAAATATTAACTTTTTTCTTCTGCTCTTCAATGAGCTTAGACTTGAGAGCATTTCCTAAATACAGTAGTGTATCTTGACAAAGTTTTTAAGTCTGCCTTGAAATGAGAAAAAAAGGCCATCACATAATGACTCTTATAAAGCTAAGTGTATTCAGATTGTATAATGGTCCTTCATTCTGAATTGTCCTTCCTCTCTCGGTGCTTCTTGAGTGCCCTTTATTTTTAATAAAAGGACCAGAAAATAGCAGATTTTTCTGTTTATCTGCTTGTTTCTTTACCTCTGTTACTTGGCAAAATAACAAGCTGGCAAACTTAGGGCGACCCTGTAAATTTGTGAAATTTTGCTGGCTCGAGAATCTAGAAGTCTGCTAAGCAATAATGTAGAACGATTGGGAAGTAGTGTTAAGTAAGAGGAAAAAAACAAACTAAGACTCAATCTGAAGTACTGACCTGAATAGAAAGCAAATAATAGCTTTCCTGGGGACATGGAAACTCACCACTAAAGAGATGAATCGAGGACTTATCCTTGCTGTATAATGACACTGAAATACAAGATGCACCGACTCAGCTTGACATCTGTGGCAGTGTCGCCCCCTGGTTACACACCCAGGTCTTGGAGTCAGGTAGACTAAAAAGTGAGCCTGGCTCTGTCACTTGCCTTGCCTCCCTAGGCAAGTTTCCTCCTATTTAAACAGTAAATGAGGGGCCCTCCCTGGTGGCACAAGGGGTTAAAGCACAGCACTAAGAAGCTAAAGCCACTTCAGCATGAGTTCGATCCCCACCCAAGAGATGACCCACATGGCGTGGCAGACTTCTCCTTACCCACCCTACCCTGACCCGCTGCTACCCCAGCAATGTACTTCTTCAGTCTGCCCTTTTTGCTCCCCACTCTGTCTCTGGTAAATCCTCACACCTCTGGCCTATATCACAAATAATTTTTTTAAGTTATTTATACCAAGAGCTATCATTTATTTACCAAGAGCTAGGCAAGGTGTTAAGAGCTTTATCTGGATATTCTCATGTAATCCTTACAAATGCTCTGTGAATTAAGTAACATAAACTCTATCTTCAAGAGTGGAAAACGGAGTCAGAGGAGGCAACTGACTCACCCAAAGTAACACAGCAAGTGTTACAAGTGCTGAGACCAGGATTCTAATCTCAATGCTCATTACTAATTATATTGTTGTCCCCCTCCAACTTATGAGCACATAGTCAAACAAGAATTTCTATACCAAGTGGTCCATCTACATCAGAAACAAAAAGAATATTTAAATCTACTTGGAAATAACCTCATGGAATTAAGTTTTAACACTTCTGGGGTGATGGAAATGTCTCTATTTTGAGAGGAATGTGGGTTTCACAGGTGTATTTATCAAAATGTTTTGTTTCTTAATTCAAAAAACATAAGCACCCCTGAAGCTGAAACCTCCAGAAATCTTAGCCAGAGTCCTACTGATTTTCTTCATACAAAGAAAAACTTAATAGAGTGTAAAGAGTAAGAAATGATTAAAAAGATCTTGGTTGAAGGACAAGTTCATCACCTACCTGTCTGGTAGATCCTTTCACCAATACTATCAGTGAATACAAGACACCAAGTTTTATCCCTTATTCACCCTTTTTATAGCTTCAGTTCATTGACAACAACAGAAGTGACAAGGATGTTCCAAGAAAACAGAGACCAGGAAAGCTGGCAGGCAACCAACACATACCTGGAAAAAAAGATTCAGCCTGGAGGCACGGCTGGCGATGGCTTCTGCAGCACCAGCATCCTGTGGAGTCCGTGCCCCATACTTGAACTTCAACATCTCCCACTGGTGCTAAAGCGAGAAAGACAGTCAAGTGTGTACTCCCGATGTGCCCAGGAAGGGCTTGAGCAAAAATTATCTCCCTCAAGATTACCAGGGACAGAGAGATGAAAAACAGCCACGACACGGGTTTTGGGAAGCTCAAGCTGGTAACGGGGATTAAAAATCAGACTGCAACTCACTGTGATAGGTAATATACTTACTTGACATACTCTCTTCCCCTACACTCCCCACTTAGAATGTAAACTTCACAAGAGCATGGATTTTTGCCCTCACAATATTGGGAACACATAACTTGGAACATGTAGTTGCTAATACCTAGTTCTAAATACCTAGAAAGGACAGTTCAAATAAGCAAATACGTTAGAAAGGGATTTAAGTGCGGGGGGGGGGGGTTGGAATGAGCAAGATGAGGTCTGTTGGGTTGGGGCGTGGCACAATTTTTTAAGTGGCAGGAGCAGACTTGACTGAGAAAGTGACATCTGAACCAAGGAAGTGAGCAGCAAACTTGCTGATATCTGGGGAAAGGAAAGTGACCCGCCAGAGGGCACAGCCAGAAGAAGGATCTGAGGCAGGGCCTGGCTGTTCTCTTACAGCAGCCAGGAGAGTGGCGCGCTGGAGCAGATAAGCGGGAAGAATGGGGTGACCGGTGGGGACCAAGATGTGACGACACCCAAGTGTTAGGATCACAGATAATGAGGACTCCGCTAGACAAAATAATGAGGTACTGCTGCAGGAGGTAGGGCAGAACACACTTAGCACCAGCACAACTCCTGCCCGGCACCCCGGGGGAGAGCCTCTCGCCCGCGGAGGTGGGCGCTAACGCCAGCCTGAAGTCACTCCGGGTCCCCGGAACGCCGGGGCAGGGTCGTCGCCCGTCCCGCTGCGGGAGGGAAAGCCGCAGGGGGTGGTGTGGGTGGGGGCGACTTCGCCCCCGTCTTGCAGAGTGGGGTGAAGGGGGTGGGGGGGCCAGACTCACGCTCAGCGGACCCAGCCAACCTGCGTTCCGCTCCGCCCGCGCTCCCGCCGCCGTGTTTGAACCCAGAAAGGCGCGGGGCGGGGTTCAGCCACTCTGGGCTAATCAGCGTGCTGGTTCCTCGTGATGGACAGCAGCGACTCGGTCAGGCTCCGCCCAAGTCCCTAAAGGGACGGCGGAAGTAGAGGGAGAACCAATCAAATTGTTTCGGCCCTTGACTCGCGACCAATGAAAAAAGGGTAAGGGCACACCCGGCGGGGCTGAGCTGGGAAGTTTGAAATTGGCGGTTAAGCGGGACTCCGTGCTGGGGACAGGTCTGGGTCTGTCCAGGATCCCTGGGGATGTCGCTGGGCGTTGTCCCCTCCTTTTACGGCCACTTGCGAGACGTCGGCAACCGAGCCGGAAGTTCGAACTTCGACCGGCCTGGATCACTGAATCTGCAGGCTGACTGTCCTACCACGAATAGGCGAAGGTATTGAGACTGTCTGAACAAGGACATTTTAGAATCAAAGATTTAAATAGGCATTTCACTAGAGAGGAAATCCAGATGCCCACCCACGTATAAAACGGTGCTCAATCTCAGACATAATCACGAAGTAAAAACCACAATGAGATACAGTTAACAGTCACCCTGCTTAGGGGGGAGAGGGAGGTTGCAGTGTTTCAAAGTAGCTACACGCGTTCACACATGGGTATGTGAAGTAGTAGTTTCTTTGAAAAAGTTTGGCATTATTTGCTAAAACTGAAGATATGCCCATTTCTATGATCCCTGTGTACGAGAATGTACAAATACTATTGTACAACATAGTGGTTAATAAATAAATAAATCGGGATGGGAAAAAAATGTACAAAATGATGTAAAAATTAACTTTTGTAATAAAAAAAATATTGTTATAAATAAATAAATAACCCTGGAAGCCACTCAAATGTCAGTGGAAAATATAACCTTTGTTTTTTTTTGGAAAGTGTAACATTTTATATCACAGTGTTTTCCTACAGCAATGAAAAAGGGTGAACTACAGCTAAATAAATGACATGAGTCTCAAAACAATGTTGAATGAAGGAGGTGAGATGATAGAATAAAGTCTGATATTGTTTTAATACAAATTTCAATAATAGACAAAACAATGTTGTTCGAGAGGTAATGGGACTATAGAAAGAAAGCAAAATTCAGATAGTGGTCACCTAGGATTAAGACAGAGGCCTCTGAGGGAATATGGGTGCTGACTTCTATTCCTTAACCTGAGTGGTAATAATATTTGTGTATGTTTTATAATTACTAGGTATACATATACACACACATATGGGTATATATGTATATATATATATACACATACATATACACACATATGTGATGTTGTGAATATCAAAAATTTATAGGAGAAAATAGACCTTTCTCTAATCTTCTAGAGTACAGAGATAGAACTGGCGAAGTGTTATCACACACACATACACATCAATCCATATAAGACCAGGTTCACTTACTATACTTTTCTCTCCAAATATAACTTGACCTTTGTTCTAGGACCATAATGATAGCCATTCTTTATCAAAAGCCCCCTTTTATCATTTTCTCATTTAATTTTTCCTACAATCTTGGAAGAGAAGAGTTTTGACAGCTTGAAAAGCTGAAGCTGAGACAGGTAGTGTGACTAGTCCTGGGTCATGCCCTGTTAGGTGATAGAGTGAGGTTCAGAACTTTTGGACTCTCTGATTTCAAGTTCTTTTCTCAACCCAAAGCCTGCTTCCCAGAAAACATTAGAAATGCTCCCAGCCTTAGCTGATGTCACACTACAGGGATCCACCCAGTCCATAAACATGTGTGAAAACAAGGAAGATTTCTAAGGACATGTGAAAGGCTTACCACAGGTGCAGTGTACACAAGGAATAGAGATTTAAAGTGAGTCACACTGGTTATTGACTTGATGAAGGAAAGCTGTGACTATGGATATAGCCAATGTTCCTGTTGATTTTTCTAGTCCAGCCAGTGCCATTAGCTTCCAGAAAGAGAAGCCTTCCCCAGTGTGGTGGGACTTGTCCATTCCAAATAACAGCACTGTTTTTGTGCTGCCTAGAGAGCCGCTCATTCCCTGTCAGAACCATCACTGGCTTCTGCAAAAAAAATCCCTTGGGAAACAAGACAGGAAATAAACAATAAAAATTGAATGGCTAGAGAAATACAAAGCAAAAACCACATTAACTCTTCCAATTTGCTTTTAGAAGTAGTCGCTGCACAGAAATTATATGGGGAAAGAGAACAAGAAGGGATCAACAGTGACTGGGCCAGTAGGAAAATGACCAGACACTGCCAAAGAGTATGAGCTGTCATGAAAACTAGACTGACAGGAACCTAGACCTTGTGTTTGTTCTCGCACAAAATGAAGCATTGACCAGTCCTAGGCTGCGTGTGAATTCATGATGATGATTGTGAGACATCCTAGCTGTGAGTCATAATGAAGGACACGATGATGTTCTTGCATTCAATCATTTGTTCAAAAAAAACATTTATTGTGCCAAGGACTAGGAGTACTAAAATGAACAAGACACCCTTCTTGTCTGTTCCTGCAAAATCAAATATGGCGGGGAAGGAGGGTTGTAAACAACCAATTGTGGGGCGCTGTGATTAGACCTTGTAGCAGTAGAGACCACAGAGGTCAGCAGCAGGGAGGTTCAGGCAGGTGGTATCTGACAGCAAATATTCGAAACATGGAAACAAAAGAAATGAAGTTGCCTGTAGCGCAACAAGCAGACAGGCACTAAGGGCATGGAGGAGAGAGAAGGCATGACTGCAACATTCGAGCTAGACTTAGGGAATGTCAAGGACTGTGCAGACCACCCCCACACCACCCCCCCCACACACACACACAAAGAACAGAAAAAGAATCTGAGAGGCTAATCGCATTCTGGATAGAAAGAGACAAGGTTATTTGAGCAATTATCACAAAAGATTGTTTACATTACCTAAATAGACTGAGTTGAACCAGACTGAAAGCTTATGGCTTTAACTCTTTACCTACTTTGCAAAGAGACCTGATTAGTTCATTGAAGGTGACCACATACCCTGGTCTAGTCAAGTTGGCATGGAAACTTGTGTTTGTTATGCCAACATCAAGTCTGATAAAACATCCCCTTTGAAAAATAATGAACAGTATTATTTGTAGTTATGTCAAAAGAGAGAGAAAGAGACAAGGTTGTGCTGGTCCCTCTGGCAGGAAAGAGAGTTGCTCGAGCTCTTTCAGCAGCAGGTAACTTCTAAATAATGAAAATGACTGAAATAACCCTAAATGACGAAAATACAATTAGCTGAGTGTTTTCTAAAAACAAACCATATCTTATGTAAGGTCTGTTTACCCAAAATACGTTCCCACTGCTGGTATGAGACACTTTCACACATCAATGTCTTATTTTATAAATTGTGTGTTTTATCACGGGTTAAGAAAAATTACAGCTAGTTCATCAAATCACAGATTTCATATGCGATATCACTTGGGGTGAGGCTAAAGGAAGTTTTGAAGAAGAAAATGAGTCAATAAAGAAAATGTTAACTCAACACTAGTTTGAGTGGTGTAAGGATAAAACTTTTAAGTCTTGAGATTGGAGAAATGCATCATTTAACCTCTTTGAGTTTAAATATAGGCCTAGTTATTATGATATTTAAGAGCTAAGAGATGTGAAAATGCTTCCTAAAATCTAAAGCCTGCAACTCACAGACTGGGAGAAAACATTTGTAAATTACATACTTCATAAGAGACTTGTATTCAGACAGTTTAGAGAATTTGCACAACTTGACCAAAAAAGTAAGAGACAAACCAATTTAAAAATAAGCAAGATATTTGAATCAATATTTCCCCCAGAAGACAAATAGCTAATAAGCCCATAAAAGATACTATCAGGGCCCTCCCTGGTGGCGCAGCGGGTTAAAGCACAGCACTGAGAATCTAAA